ACCCTTGAACAGGCACGCACCCACACCTCACATGATCCCGCCCTCGTTCAGCAAATCCCTAAACCCCCACCCTATCCTTGCTGTCCGTACAGTCCACACACATACCCTCCCCATACCCCGCCCATCCTAGTTCTTGGCACACAATCCCACCCTGGTCGTTCTTTTCCCTATTCTTCATCCAAATCCCCAAAGGGGCCAACTTTCCCATTCCGCGTGCCTCCCCTTGCGGCCAGTCATTGCTGTGGGATTGGGAGTTCTCCAAAACCAAGTGGGGCAACACGTACCTCGCCCAGACACCTGACATCATGCACATCATCAAGGCAGGGCTTTGGCTTCATGCAATGAGGTGCCTCGTGAAGAAGTTGAAACCGTCAGAGCGAAAAATACTTCTCGAGTAAGGTTCCCTTTTCCCCCGGTGGGGCGAGAGTCATACGTGCAAGAGAAAGAGGCATCGAGGGGGAACTAGAGGGATTGAGAGGGGAAGAGGGGCAGTGAGGGGGAAGGTTGCACTAAGAGAGACGGAGAGTGGGGCAGAGTGTTGCAAGAAGTTGGGCAGAGAGGGGGAATTCGGGGCAGAGAGATGGAAGGAGGGGCAGCCGGAGGGAGGGTAGGGCGGTGGTGTGGAAGGAGGGGCAGGGATGAGTGAATGCAGGGCACAGAGAAGGGGGAAGAGCGAGGGAATTTGTAGCAGCGTTGGAGGAATGCGGGGTGGAGAGAGGGGGAAGTGGTGCAGAAAGAGGGAACTTGGGACAGAGACGTTGAGGGAGGGGCACCATGGGGGAAGGAGGCGCTGCGAGCAGGAAGGTGGGGCTGCTAGCGGGAAGGAGGTGCATAGAAAGGGGGGGGGGGGGGGAGGGGGGGGGGGTTGGTCGTGTGAGGTGAACGCGGGATTCAGAATAGTGTCTCGGGGCATAGGGACCACATGGGGGTAATGTAGGAGTAAAATTGGGCAGAGAGTAAGGGAGATTGCGACTGGGAGAGGGCAAGTGAGGCAGAGTGAGGAAAATGGGGGCCTGGAGAAAGAAATTGGGACCGAGCAAGGGGAAATTGGGGCAGGGGGAGAGAACGAGGGGCGGAGAGAGGTGACCATGGGGCAGAGTGAGGGAACAAGGGGCAGAGAGAGGAATGATGAGGCATAGAGGCTGGGGGAGTGGGGCAGAGGACGGAAAGGGATTCACTGAGAGAGAGGCAGCGGGGAGATGAGGTGCGATTTGATGCACCTAACTACTAGACCACCCCGCCAGCCCCACCCCTCCCCCGCCCCCCTCCCTAACCCACCCCACCGGCCCCACACAAACCCTAAACCGATACCCTTACTGCATCCCGTACGTGCAGACGCTACAAGATTCTCAAGGCAATGACTCCTGCGTCTTTGCTGAGACTCCCATCCGCATGGGCGTACTTCACCACGACGGCCTGCTTCTCAGCGTTGGAGCATCGTGCCATGATGCAAGTGCTGCCCCTCATCATCGACCTCCCCAAGCGCGCCGATATTCGACATGCCATCACGCTCATGTCGTACTGGTACAAGGAGTTTATCCGGGCTGAGTATCACACCGATGCCACGCTTGAGCGCATGGAGGAGGTCTCCTGCGAGTAAGTCTAGCGTGAATGGGTGTGGGTGCCATGCGCATAGGGAACGAGGGACGGTGAGATGGCTGAAGGGGTCGAGGGAGGGATTAAGAGGCAGTGTGTGGGAAATAGGGTGCAGAGAACGGGGGAAAAAGGGAAAAGATAAGGAAAGGGGGGAAAAGCGAGGGAAAGAGGGGACGAGGGAGGGAAAGAGGGGACGAGGGGGGGAAAGAGGGGACGAGGGAGGGAAAGAGGGGACGAAGGAGGGAAAGAGGGGACGAGGGAGGGAAAGAGGGGACGAAGGAGGGAAAGAGGGGCCGAGGGAGGGAAAGAGGGACCGAGGGAGGGAAAGAGGGGCCGAGGGAGGGAAAGAGGGGACGAGGGAGGGAAAGAGGGGCCGAGGGAGGGAAAGAGGGGACGAAGGAGGGAAAGAGGGGACGAGGGAGGGAAAGAGGGGACGAAGGAGGGAAAGAGGGGCCGAGGGAGGGAAAGAGGGGCCGAGGGAGGGAAAGAGGGGCCGAGGGAGGGAAAGAGGGGACGAGGGAGGGAAAGAGGGGCCGAGGAAGGGAAAGAGGGGAGGAGGGAGGGAAAGAGGGGCCGAGGGAGGGAAAGAGGGGAGGAGGGAGAGGGAACGATGGACTGTGGACTGTTCCGCATGGGCTGAAAAAGGGAAGGAGGGGCAAAATGACGAGAGGAGGGGCTTACACTGGGGGTATGGAGTGGCAGAAACATGGAAGCTGAGTTGTGAGTGGGTGGGGAGTTCAGATCAGAGGAGGGGGGAGGGTTTGAGACCGGGTATTAGTACATGAACCCGGGGATGGGGCATTGTATTTTGTTCGTGCCTGAATTGTTGTTTATATGCTTACGCACGCTAAACCGGTCCCCAACACCCCAATGCCCCGATCCCGAACCTTTCAATCCTCCCGAACACGTTCTCTCCAGGATGGTCGATGCGCTTGTTCTAGCATTCGACAACCAGAAGTCGAAGTGGCTTATTATCAAGGTGCATCTTGTAGCGCACCTCCCACCGACGATCCGTGCACGGGGATTGCCACAGGAGTACTCTTCGAACCGGTACGAGCAGTCCCACAAGACAACAGTGAAGCGCCCTTCTCGCGGCACCAACTGGAAGGGTGTGGAGGATCACATTGTGAAGAAGCATATCGAGCAAGCCGTTGTTCGACAGCTGTCTCGAGCATCCGGCGGGGACAAAACATACGAGACCGCCATGAAGGAGGTGAGCCTGTGTACGACCTAAGGCCGAACTCGCCGGCCGAATGTTTCCCGCCTGCTCCTGCCACATGAAACCCTCAATCACCTCGTGTTTTTGTTTAAACCCTGCCTCTTACCTTCCTCCCGCTGCCTCTCTTGACATCCCTTCTAGCATCCACGTGCTCACCATCATGTCCACCCATGAAATGCCTCCCCCGCTGCCCCCCTAGACATCCCTTCTAGCATCCACGTGCTCACCATCATGTCCACCCATGAAATGCGTCCCCCGCTGCCCCCCTAGACATCCCTTCTAGCATCCACGTGCTCACCATCATGTCCACCCATGAAATGCCTCCCCCGCTGCCCCCCTAGACATCCCTTCTAGCATCCACGTGCTCACCATCATGTCCACCCATGAAATGCCTCCCCCGCTGCCCCCCTAGACATCCCTTCTAGCATCCACGTGCTCACCATCATGTCCACCCATGAAATGCCTCCCCCGCTGCCCCCCTTGACATCCCGTTGAGCACTGCGTCATGCTCGCGTTCTTGTCCACCCATCGCGCCTTCCACTAGCTGCCACCCTTCACATTCCGTCTTGCCCCACATGCTCCCCCACTTATCCACCCATGCCCCGCCCCCGGCCCCCGTGGGACTATCCGTCAATCTGACCCCCAATGCTCCCCTACTTGTCCACCATATACCTTCGGCTGCTAAACACGTCGCCCCCTCGTTTCCCCCCAACCCTAAACCCATATGTCCATCCCCGACACTTCCCATTCCCTCCTGCCCTTTGTCTTTCCTTTGCTGCCCCTTTATCTACACTTGTCCACCTATGCTCCCTCCTCTTGCTGCATCCTTTGACCTCTGGAACTGCCCCACTATACTAACCGACTGGTCCCTTATCTTTGCTCCATATCACTGCTGCCCCCGTTGTACCCAAGTGCTGCCCCTCTCCTGCTGCCCCCCATGTACACCATGCACCCATCACCCTCCTACCCAGGCTTGCACGCTTGGGCGTCGGGTGCTGACTAAGACACACAAGAAGATGATCGTGGGGCAGATCACGGATGATGTGTTCAGGAGCTATGTCCTTGTTTACGGAGATGTAGCAATGGGCTACTTGAAGAAGCGGCTGGCCAGGGAGGGAATTCACGACCAAGTGCTCAATGTGAGAATCAATATGGTGCTCAATGCTGTGCAAACTGCCACTGCCACGTAGACCTGTTAAACGCGTAGCATCACCCTCCTTAATGGGCCGAACCGAGGCATGGCACCCTGTTGTATCCACGCACCCATCAGCACCCCATTGTCTCAACCCTAACACAAACTTCCATTGTTGTGTTGCGACCCCCGCTTGCTTATTCGCAGGTGCACACTGCCATGGCAATCCCACCGCACGACAGGATGGAGTGGGCCGAGAAGGGGCAGTTTGTCAAAGCAAGCCCTTCCGAAAGGCACTTTTTAGATGTGGCCATAAATCCAGCTGGCAAGGGGGCCAACTGGTACGGCCGATGCTTGATGCTGTTCCATTACGTGAAAGACGGCGTGGCAAAAAAAGCCGCCTACATCGAGTACTACACGGAGGATCGGCGAGTCTGCCGGTACACTGGCTGCAAACGACTGTTGCCCACGAAGGGCACCTTCAACTATGCAGTTGTAGATGCAGATTGCATTCTTAGCATCGTGCATGTTGTCCCGTGCTGCAAAGACCCTACTGTGAAGCTGCTCAATAGGTTCATCTGGTGATGCATATTAAGTAGCAACTAAGTCAATATACCATAACCTTCTTTGATTATGAAACACGCTTTTAATCCACCTTATTATCGTCTCAACAATTAACATCTTACAAACATTCCATTGTAACATCGCAAAACCATTACTAAAACATCAACAAAACGTTTGGTCTGACAAGAATGCTATACAAACAATTCGTAGATGATTCCTGGGTGATTGTCAAACGATTTTCGGAAACTTGCTTAAAAAAAAAAATGGTCAGATGATTTCCAGACGCACACATTTTTGTGATGGACGCAGACGCACTAGCACCTAGAGCAGCAGCGTTGCAAGCACCTAGGGCAGCAGCCGCACCAGTACCTAGAGCAGCAGTCTCAATACCCGGATCGGGCGGGAAACACCAGTAACAGTCACCCTCATCACGAATAGTCACAGAATACATGGCAGACAAGATAGCATCAAAATCAAGATCATAGATGGCTACTCCCGCCCTAGACAGCGAGAGATCTCTGTGGCATCAGGGAACTGGTGACGCCAAGCGTCCGTCAGGCGGCCAAAGCAGCGCTGGGTGTGGTGCGCACCCCCACACTGCTCACCCGCACGGTCGCCGGTGTGCAGGACGTAGGTGCACGGACCAAAACCCCCTCCCCGCTGGCGTGCGGTGTACCACTTACGGAGCTGCTGAGGGGACAGGGTCTCACGACCACGCTGCTGCTGCTGGCGCGGACCACCACCGGAGCCACTCCTCTGCGTAGACCCGCGACTAGCTCCACCGCCACCTCCGCCCCCTCCGCCGCCTCCGCCGCCTCCGCCACCATCGCCGCCTCCACCACCACCGCCGCCTCCGCTACCACCGCCTCCTCCGCTCCCTTCGCCACCGCCGCCGCCTCCGCCCCCACTGCTGCCACCGGTACCCCCACCCCCTCCACCACTCCCTCCACCACCCCCACTCCCTCCACCGCCTCCACCGTCACCTCCACCGCCCCCGCCAGCTCCTCCAGCGCCCTTGCCCCCCTTGCCCCTGCGTGTGCGGCGCTTCCCCGAAGGGGCAGATGCAGCGCTGACCGACTCGAAACCAACGAGGTCGGCCGCAGCAGCAGAAGCAACAGAGGGCAAGAGGGGGGAGGGAGAACACCCCTCAAAGACAGGGGTGCGGGGGTCACCACGAGAAGCTCCTACAGCGACTATGCTCTTCTCCGCCGCTAGGAGGGAATTCTCGAGGAGGTCAATGGTGAGAGTGGTCGGGCACACTGTGAGGAAGTGGTCCCTGACCACTCTAAGGGAGTCAGGGAGTCGAGTGACTATGAAGTAGAGGGTGATGTACATGGGGGGGGGGTTCTTGGCGCAGAAGTCAGTACGAAGCGCAGCGCGGTAGCGAGTGTCAGCGACTCTGGGAAAGGCAGCAAGGTCACGGAAGAGGTACGGCAGCATGAGACGGCTCAGTGCAGCAGTGGCAGGGGAGGAGTAGCGTGCAACTACAGTGTCGTACAAGGTCTGAGCACTCTTGTACTGACTAAAGTGTGCACGCTCGGAGGTAGGGAGGTGACGACGCACAGCAAGACGTGCAGCAGCGTCGCGCGTGGCCCACTGGGAACGAACAGTGGCATCAGCATCAACAGCAGGGGCAGGGGAAGCGCCAGAGGTATGGTCAAAGAGAGAGAGGCCGTCTGCCCCATCGCACTGTAAGAACAGCTGCAGGTCATCTACCCAGACCTCAAAGTCAATGGCCCGACCCTCAGCGTCAAAAGTGAGGACACTAGGGGTAGCCATGACAACAGTAGACTAGCAGTGCAGACAGTAGGGTGAGGGCAGTGCAGTGAAAGAGGCGCTGTGCTCACGAGACTGGGCAGCTCGGAAGGAGGGTGGCTCGGCTGCTGGGCGGCTCGGCGGCTCGGCTGTAGGGCGGCTCGGCTGCTAGGCGGCTCGGCTGCTGGGCGGCTCGGCAGCTCAGCTGCAGAGCGGCTCGGCTGCTGGGCGGCTCGGCGGCTGGGCGGCTCGGCTGCTGGGTGGCTCGGCGGCTCGGTTGTCCGACTGCTCCGATGCCCGGGCGGCTCGGCGGTGCTGCTGCAGGGCGGCGCGGCGGTCGGTTGCTCGGCTAGGTGGGATGGGTCGTGCAGTCGTGGTGGCGGGCGGCGCTGCAGCAGGTGACAGGCGGCGAGGCCGCAGGAGAAGGTGGCGAGGCCGCAGATGAGGGCGGCGAGGCTGTAGCAGAGAGCGGCGGCCGGCCGCTAGTAGGGCGGCGATGGGGCCGCAGGGAGAAGGGCGGCGACGGGCCGCCTTAGGGCGGCAGCGGGCCGCTGCGGAAAGGGCTGCGACGGGCCGCCGTAGGGCGGCGGCTGGCCGCTGTGGAAAGGGCGGCGACGGGCCGCCTCGGGACGGCAGTGGGCCGCTGCGGGAAGGGCGGCGACGGGCCGCCTTAGGGTGGCGGCGGGCCGCTGCGGAAAGGGCGGCGACGGGCGGCCTTAGGGCGGCGGCGGGCCGCTGTGCAAAGGGCGGCGACGGGCGGCCTTAGGCCGACGGCGGGCCGCTGCGGAAAGGGTGGCGACGGGTGGCCTTAGGGCGGCGGTGGGCCGCTGCGGAAAGGGCGGCGACGGGCGGCGGCTAGGGCGGCGGCTAGGGCGGCGCTAGGGCGACAGGCCGCTTGGGCGACGGGCCACTAGGGCGACGGGCCGCTAGGGCGACGGGCCGCTAAGGGCGACGGGTCGCTAGGGTAGGCGCGCTTCGGGCAGGGGGCAGGACGCGCCCCGGGCAGAAAAAAAAAGTTGGTGGGCCCTAGGAACAGTTCCCACGAGGGAACCTGCTCGATACCATGAGAAAGTATGAACGAGAATGAATGAACTATGAATGAACTGGGTACAAGTACCTACCCTAATTGGGTTGTACCCTCTATGGGATACCCCACTATAGCCTACACAAAAGCATAAGCTATATATGTTCTGACACTTTGCTGCTGCCACCTCTGCCTTTGCTGCTGCCACCTCAGCCTTTGCTGCTGCCACCTCCCCCTTTGTTGCTACCAACTCATGTGCTTGCCTTGTCATTATAATCTTTTGTGCTTCCAACTTTCTTCTTCCTTCTGCAAACTTCCTATTGGCTGCTGCTAACTCTCCCTTAACTGTTGCCAGCTCCTCTGTATGTACTGTCAACGAGTTATCGTGTGCAGCCAATGCCACCTTGGCTGCCGCCAAAGCCCCCTTTGCTGCCGCCAATTCCTCTGCTTTCCCTGTCAACGATTTCTTCTGTTCTGCCAACCCTTCTTTGGTTCCTCTCACCTCCTTTGCTTGCCTTGTGATCGCTCTCTTGTGTTCAGCCAACTCCCTCCTTGTCTCTTCCAGCTGCACGTCAAGAGCCCTCATTCTCATCTCCATCGCCTCTATCAACTCGCGTATTCCAACCATACTTGCTATGGCACTCCCAGCGGCGTGCCACACTCCCTGCAACCCAGAATAGCCATGATTCCTACGCATTACAGCACACAGGTGGGAGCACACGTGTGCTGATGGAAATTAAGAACTCGGGGAGGCCGAGAGAAAAAAAATGCAGGTGGTGCACCGGGAGATATGAGGAAGTCAAGAAAGGAAACAAGAGTAAAATTGAGCAGAGAGAGCTCATATCGTAAAGAAAAAGGCCATACAACATGACAGCGCTTATTACACAAGAAGCAACGCGCACCACAGAAAAGGATCACATTGGGAACAAGGGGAAGACATGAGAACCGAAGGAACAAAGATGAGGTTGAGAATTAGTGAGATGCGGCAAGCTCACATGGGGTTGTGCAGCAGAGGGAAGATACCACGTGTCTGCAGCATGATGAGGGACGAAGGGAGTGAAGGAGAGAGGGCGCAAGATGAGGAGGATGCAAGATGGGTGAGGAATGCACAGCCACATGTAAACGAGGAGTGAGTGGAGGCAGGGGAGATTGCATAGAGAAGAAACGACTCGCAGAGAGGCAAAGCCACAGCGGTGGGGAGCAGAGTGCATGGCATACCAGGAGGCACTTGGTTGCACTCTTCAGCTTCATCAGCCCAGGAGTCACAACCAAGCCCTGCTGATGCACCCATGCTCTGACATGCGTGTGGGTCACGCCCATCCCCCACAGCAGTGCCACGACAGTGGCGACAAGAGTGGCGATGGCAGTATACATCATGAGTATATAAAATTCACCCGGAGACTGCAGGTGCAGGGCAACAAGGGCGTAAGCAGTGACGCATGAGTAAGGAAAGGGCACTTAATTCCTGAACAATGAAATCAGGCATAATTGCTGGTTGGTTGCAGCAAGGTGCAACCGCAAAAGCCTCGTTAAACACAACAGGCACCAGGGTGTGGAGGGAGTGAAGGGGCACGATGAGAGTGTGGCCATGCTGAAGGGAGGTGATGATGGAATGAGCACGAGTGGGAGATAGGCATGTGACACTCTGACATGTGCCAGGGGGGAATGGCCTGAGAGGTGTAGGCAGAGCATGCAAACGGGGATACATGCATACACAAATACGAACAGGCATGGGCTCACACACATGCAAGGATACGCACCCACACATGTGCAAGCATACGCACCCACACATGTGCAAGCATACGCACCCACACATGTGCAAGCATACGCACCCACACACGTGCAAGCATACGCAGTCACACATGTGCAAGCATACGCACCCGCACAAGCACATCACACATGAAGCACACAGGAATTCAGTGCAACTACATTAATAAAAAGTGAGTAAAGAAATGCAAGCAAACGAAACCACAAACGGACGGAACTATTGTGGAGGGAAAGAGAACACTTGCTTACATGAGGGAGGGGAGTAGAGAAAAGCATCAGAGAGTGCTTGAATTGCTGACTGGCACGTGGCACCTGCAAGATGCAACGTGGAAATCACAGGGGCATGCTTAGACAAGAGGCCAGGCAGGCGTGTAAGGCATGAGCACAATGTGGTTAACATGTGCAGCTGCGTTGGAGTGGGCATGACGTGGCCAGCATCGCAAGAGCGACCAGACCACGATGCATCAGATCCCTGCCATGCCATGGCAGTGAACACTCACCTCCCCTGCCATGATGGCACGCCACACATCTTTGTGAAGTGGATTGATGCAGATGAATGCGATGACTGCGATGGTCGTGCCAAGAACGACGCCGAACACCAGCCCTGGAAGCAGCATGGCCATTGTAGTGAGGGCTTATGGGGCGAGCCCAATGTAAGGCGCGAGTCTGCACAGTGAGGTGTGTCAGAACATTATATAGCTTATACATTTGTGTAGGCTATAGTGGGGTAGCCCATAAGGGGTACAACCCAATTAGGGTTAGTACTTGTACCCAACTGTTTCATAGTTCAATCATTTTCTCGTTTCTTCTCATAGTTTCAGAGCAGGCTCCCTAGTAGGAATGCTACCTAGGGCCCACCACGATTTTTTTTTCCTGCCCGGAGCGCGCCTCACCCTAGACCGAGTCGCGCGCGCCCCGTGTGCCCTCTCTACCGTCGCGCCGCCCTTAGTGGCCCCTCGCGCTGCCCGTCGACCCCACGCGCCGCCCTAGCGGCCCCTTGCGCCGCCCGTCGACCCCACGCACCGCCCTAGCGGCCCCTTGCGCCGCTTGTCGACCCCGCGCGCTGCCCTAGCGGCCCCTTGCGCCGCCCGTTGACCCCGCGCGCCGCCCTAGCGGCCCCTTGCGCCGCGCGTTGGCTCCGCACGCCGCCCTTGTGGCCCTTCGAGCCACCCGACGGCCCGCCGTGTGCCGCCCTTGCGGCCCCTTGCGCCGCCCTAGCGGCCCCGACGCCTACTCCTGCGGCCCCGGCGCCGCCCTTCCCGGCCCCGGCGCCTACTCCTGCGGCCCCGGCGCCGCCCTTCCCGACCCCGGCGCCTACTATCCCAGCCCCGGCGCCTACCCCTGCGGCCACAGCGCCGCCCTTCCTGGCCCCGACGATACCTCTCATGGCCCCACCGCCGTCCCTGAGTCAGGAGCCGCCGCCGCCGAGCCGCCCAGCAGCCGGGCTGCCGCGCCGCCGAGCCGCCCAGCAGCCGAGCAGCCGAACCGCCGAGCCGCCGAGCCGCCCAACAGCCGAGCCGCCAAGCCGCCAAGCCGCCCAGCAGCCGAGCCGCCGAGCCGCCCCGCAGCCAAGCAGCCGAGCCACCGAGCCACCGAGCCACCGAGCCACCCAGCAGCCAAGCCGCCGAGCTGCCGAGGCGCCCAGCAGCCGAGCCGCCGAGCCGCCCAGCAGCCGAGCCGCTGAGTCGCCCTGCAGCCAAGCCGCCCAGCAGCCAAGCCGCCAAATCGCCCTACAGCCAAGCCGCCCGCACCGCCGAGCCGCCCGAGCCGCCCTGTCCGGTAAGAGCAGCGCCTCTGCCACTGCACTGCCCTTACCCTACTGTTTGCGCTGCTAGTCTACTGCTGTCATGGCTACCCCTAGTGTCCTCACCTTTGACGCTGAGGGTCGGGCCATTGACTTTGACGTCTGGATAGATGACCTGCAGCTTTTCTTACAGTGCGATAGGGCAGACGGTCTCTCCCTCTTTGACCTCACCTCTGGTGCCTCTCCTGCCCCTGCTGCTGATGCTGACGCCACTGTTCACTCACAGTGGGCCACGCGCGATGCTGCTGCACGTCTTGCTGTGCGTCGCCACCTGCCTACCTCTGAGCATGCGCACTTTAGCCAGTACAAGAGTGCTCAGACCTTGTACGACGCTGTAGTTGCACGCTACTTCTCCCCTGCTACTGCTGCACTGAGTCGCCTCACGCTACCGTACCTCTTCCCTGACTTCGCTGCCTTTCCCACAGTCACAGACCTCATTACGCACCTCCGCACTAGTGACACTCGCTACCGCGCTGCGCTTCCTGCTGAGTTCTGCGCTAAGAACCCCCCCCCCCCCCCCCCTATGTACATCACCCTCTACTACATAGTCGCTCGTCTCCCTGACTCCCTCCGCGTAGTCAGGGACCACTTTCTCTCTATTTGCCCCACCACTCTCACCGTTGACCTCCTCGAGAAGGCCCTCCTAGCAGCAGAGAAGAGCATAGTCACTCTAGGAGCCTCTCGTGGTGATCCCCGCACCCCCGTCTTTGAGGGGTGTTCTCCCTCCCCCCTCTTGCACTCTGTTGCTTCTGCTGCTGCGGCCGACCTCGTTGGTTTCAAGTCGGTCGGCGCTGCGTCTGCCCCTTCGGGGAAGCGCCGCACAGGCAAGGGCAAGGGGGGCAAGGGCGCTGGAGGAGCTGGCGGGGGCGGTGGAGGTGGCGGTGGAGCCGGCGGAGGGGGTGGGGGTGGTGGTGGGAGTGGTGGCGGGGGTGTAGGTGTCGGTGGCGGCAGTGGAGGCGGAGGCGGAGGCGGCAGTGGCGGTGGGAGCGGAGGTGGCGGAGGTGGCGGGGTAGGAGGTGGCGGATGCGGAGGAGGTGGAGCTAGTCGGGGTGGCGCTGCGCAGAGGGTCGGCTCCGGTGGTGGCCAGCACCAGCAGCAGCAGCAGCAGCGCACTCGTGACATCCCCCCCCCTCAGTAGCTCCGTCAGTGGTACGCTGTACGCCAGGGGGGTGGGGGTATTGGTCCATGCACCTACGTCCTGCGCACCGGCGACCGCGCGGGTGAGCAGTGCAGGGGTGCGCACCGCACCCAGCGCTACTTTGGCCGCCTGATGGACGCTTGGCTTCACCAGTTCCCTGAGGCCACTGAGATCCCTCGCTAGGGCGAGCTGTCTAGGGCGGGAGTAGCTATCTTTGACCTTGACTTTGATGCTATTCTTGCTGCCATGTATGCTGTGACTATTAGTGACGAGGGTGACTGTTACCTGTGTTTTCCGCCCGACCCGGGCATTGAGACTGCTGCTCTAGGTACTGGTGAGGCTGCTGCTCTTGGTGCTATCGAGGCTACTGCTCTAGGTGCTAGTGCGTCTGCTTCCTCAGGTGCTGGTGAGTCTGCTCTCTCAGGTACTGCGTCGGCTTCGGCCTCCCTCACCTTCATCCTTGACTCGGGGGCTTCTCGCTCCTTCTTTCGAGACCGCACCACACTCACGCCGCTTAGTCGGCCAGTTGCAGTCTCTCTGGCAGACCCCTCTGGGGATCCTGTCCTTGCTCAATTCTTCACTGTCCTACCGTGTCTGGCGGCTCCCTCTGGCACCCTGTCTGGTCTTTACCTCCCCTCGTTCTCTACGAACTTGGTGAGTGATGCTGACCTACAGGATGGGGGAGTTCACCAGTTCACTCCTGCGAGCTAGCGGGTGACCCACTGCATGGACGCTCGGACGGGCCGACACTTGGCCACGTTTACACATCGATCGGGGTCGAGCCTGTACACACTGACCACTGAGTCTCCTCCAGTCACTGCGTCTGGTCGGGCAGCTGCGTAGGGTCAGGTGTTTGCTGCAGCGTCAAGGTCTGGTCCTGGGTCTGCCTCCTGCTCGTGTCGTCTCCTGTCTCACGAGACTCTCCTTTGGCACCACCGCCCTGGTCACCCTTCCCTGCCTTGTCTCTGAGGCATGGCGTCCCGTTTCCTTGTCTCAGGTCTTCCCCGGTCCCTCCCTCCCCTTCCCCCGGGGCCTACCCCTGCCTGCGTCCCCTGCGTTGAGGGGAGCCAGCGTGCTGCCCCTCACTCCTCCCAGTTTCCTTCGACAGAGGCCCCACTGCAGACGCTTCACATGGACGTGTGGGACCCAGCCCGCGTCCGTGGACAGGGTCACGAGCGCTACTTCCTGCTAGTGGTTGATGACTACTTGCGTTACACCACAGTCTTCCCCTTGCGCAGCAAGGGTGATGTCACTGAGGTGTTGATCGACTGGATCCGCGCAGCTCGTCTCCAGCTAAGGCGGAGCTTCGGCTCGGACTTTCCTGTTCAGCGTCTGCACTCTGACAGAGGCAGAGAGTTCTCCTCTGACCTCCTGCGAGCCTACTGTCGTGCACGAGGCATCCGCCAGACCTTCACGCTTCCGGACTCTCCACAGCAAAATGGGATTGTTGAGTGCCGCATTGGCATGGTCATGGACGTCGCTCGTACGTCCATGATGCATGC